TCGAACTTTAAATCTAGCTTTTTTGGGGCTTTTTATGGAGTACACGGTTACAATGGTTTACGCTATTTAAAACTCCTTCCTATTATATAATATTCAAAACTGTCCAGACATAGCTACATTAATCATTTATATTCAGTCATTTGATAAATTTAGATGATCTGAATAGTGGTATTAATTTATTCTTCCAGGCTTTGTGTTTCTTGAAAAAGTGTATCGGTATGAACAATTAATCATTTCATCCCTTTTCGATAGCTGTATATTGGCTTCTCCTAGAGTTTTAATATTCGCTTAAGATATTGGATGTCGAATAGGATTTCACTTAAGTACAATACAGATAACAAGAAGTATCTCTTAAGAAATTAACTATATGCTCTTGGTATTTACTTTTTTTCTTACTTTAAATTTGCATTTTACATGTTACATAAAAATTTCGTGATAAAGTTCAGGAATATATTTAAATGTGTTATCCTTTGGTACCAATGCTGCAACAGGATTTGTGCCTCTCAATAATTTTACAAAATTATGAATCTACATTTTGAGGACCTTCGTGCACATACGTACAGGCATGCCTATACGTAATTTTCTTGGGTATCACAGTCGTGTCCACAAAACCAAATGTCGAGCTGAATATTTTCCCATATGTAATGTTAAATTGGTTTGGGATGCATATTACAAAGTATTCAGATGAGCTTATAAAATGAACGAATTAATTAAGATTTAAGGCAATTGATAAACCTGTGTAAATTTATTTCATTAAGCCAGTGTTGTGAATATGTATTCAATTGACGATAAATTATGTAAACAGTTCTAAATACGTAAACGATTGGCTGTATTTATATTATGTGTAATCGTGTTTATTTATATTGTGCATTACGTATAATATATTCATGTGTATTGATATTATGCCTTACGTATATTCATGTATATTGATATTATGTACATTTATGTGCATTGATATTATGCATTACGTATATTATTCGAGTGTATTGATATTATGTATATTCATGTATGTTGATATTATGTGTATTCATGAATATTGATATTATGTATATTCACGTGGTGTTTATATTATAATATATCCGGTATGTATTATATATATTCGTGTGTACTGGTAATATGTAATATGTATATTTATTCAAATTATCCCACAAAAACTTGAAACTAAGAAAATGACGCCAAATACCTAATGTTATCAGATTTTACTTTGGAATTTTAACTGGTCGGAAACATTAATATTAAAGGGGTTGAATATTTTATATAAGATAGAACTTGAAACCAGCTGCTATATTAAATACCTAACTCGTGTTTGCTCATTTATCTATTTTGGTAAAGACTTACACAATTTAAAATAGTCCCAACATTATAACTATCATAGTAATATAATTTTTGAAATCAATGTTCCGTTTGAAGATAAATCACTTTTCTAAGCAAAATAGTTAAATTTATATGGAAAGGCAGAACTTTTCGTGTCCTGAATACTGCGTAAAAGGTATCCATCAATACAATTAAAAGTTCTTGCAGGTAATTATTGTATTTTCTCCAAAATATACTAGATATATCTATTATCTCACTGTGTTCGGGTACAATATTATCATAATAAATTCCCGTACCCTAATACAATCTGTTGAATTGAGATCATTTTGATAGTTCGCCACCTTCAGAGTTCCAAAATGTTTTTTTCGCCAATGTCATGTGACATAAGATTAGCGTCTGATTGGGGAGGGGAGGTACTTTGGAACTCAAATTATATTCAGAGGGTAAATAGAAAACAAATCAAAATTTCCATCTGAAATCTGGATAACTGGATGGCACTGCACGGAATGACAAATAATATGGCCATACAGTAAATTGGATACACATTCCCAAGAGAAACATGAAGTTCGAAACTTGTTTTAACTATGAACTTTTTGGATGACTTTAAGTAACTTGGAAATTTTACAAACAGTGTAAAAAGCACAACAAGGCAGATTTTTCATAATATCTAAAAAGAAACATATATGTACTGTTTTAAGATAAATAATGTTGTTATTACGTAATTATGTACTTCTGATTATGAACAAAACTTTCGCGAAACACTGGCTTTTTCGCGTGTGAGAGAGAGAAAGAGAGAGAGAGAAATGGGGCTTAACGTCCACTCGACACAAACTAGGTCATTTCGGGACTAACATACGGTTTAATTTTATTTCATTGATTCGCTTGCGCGTAGGGGTCTTTAGCAGTGGGAGGAAACCGGAGGACCCGGAGAAAACCCACGAGGTTGGACAGGTGACCCTACTCCTTGTCACGTACAACCGGGGATTCGAAACCACGCCAGTTGACTCAATGACAGGCCGTATGATACAGCACGCACGTGCTAACCATTCGGCCATCCAACCCCTCCTTCTTCGAGTGAATGGTGGCGTGAAATCAGTAGAAACCAATATTAAATTTAAATGGCAATAACTTAAATTTCATTTGATTGATTTGATCAGTTTCTGTGCCAAAATATTTTGTAATGAAAATACTTTTGATTGTTTGGGGTCTTAAACTCCATACTTAACATTTATTCTGACATGTTGGGGCTTTGCGCTATATAGCAATTGCTTCTTGTTCAACGTAAGAATTCATCGCTGATGAAAACGTGAAAGATTTGTGTTGACTTCCAGTAGGTTTCAAATGCTTATGGAGTGAAATTTACCGGCTGTATAAATAATGCATTTTATAAATTTTACAGTGTAATATTGTGAATTAATTTTAGTTAGATAAATAAGTCTGTAATCAATAAATAAAGTCTTTCCTAATTTACTGTAGACATTAGGAATCCATACTCAAAAGACAATTAATGATACATTATTTAAGAGCTATATTTGCCTCTTGCAGGTCTTTCTTTAGGCCTTAAATGTTATATAAATTATTAATTAGACATTTATTAACATGACAAGATCATAATCAACTCTCGATGCCATAGGATACTCGAGATTTTAACAAAATTAGAACGGTTCGGCCATTAATGATTTAATTTAAAAACAGAGAAGCGAGGCTAAGCCTCGAATATACCAGTACCGTGGTTACGATAATACACACATCTTGTCAAAACTACAGGATAAAGTAATTTGAATGAAATTTTCAATATATTCATTTTGCATTATCTATTTTTGAACTATTGCAGCAAGAACGGCCAGCTCTGTATCTAAATCTTACATAATGTATCATTAATGGGAATTAAATAAGCACATTATATAACTTATGTTAAATTTCTCGATAGTTAAAATTAAAGTATAATTTCTATATCATCCGATGTATTATTTTAGCACATTATGTTATATAGAATGCTGAATCACTTTTCTTGTGTGTACATGTTTTTCTCTTGTAAAATGTGTATTTTATGAAAATGTGAAATTATGTTATTGGTGATACTTGTGTAAGTCTTCCAGTATAACATTTAGAGAATCATAGAAATCGAAGTATAATACATTTAAAGCTGTAACGTGACAGAATGGAGGCTAAATATACAGTTAAGACAATGTAAATCAAGAACAATTTCATTTTATTATGGTTCAACCAATTAAACATAAATTGATGTTTATTGATTTCACACTACCATTTTATATGTGTTTTAGGCTAATAAAGTAATAATAATTCTGCTATTTATTTTTCGTACACATTAACTTATTCTTCATAATGATATTTTTTTATACTAGGGTGTTTTATAAATAACAACATTCTTTTCATTAAATCTGTACATATTTTTGACATTTGTGATATATGAGAACGAATTGACTTGGATTTAATTTCCAGTTCATACGATGTCATATATTTGTTTGTATTTTATTTTATTTGTTTAAATAAACGTTTATATTTTTATTTCCCCTATGAAAAACAATTTCTCCTTAAATCATTTCACCCTGGCATAAATAGAAACCTAGAGTCTAAAGAAAGACGAAAGGCATAGTTATATTTCCAATAAAGTTCCGCGGAAATATTTGAAATAATTTATTTGTAGTTTATTTACCGACATCAGAACTTTTAGACTTTTTAAATTAAAATAAAACTATGTTCGTTTTATTCATTGTAATCATTGTAAAGACTCTATAGAGTAAAAAAGTATATATTAAATTTTCGCTTTTTTGTTTAGCGATTATATAAAGATTTAAATCCCAAAACGGTAATGCTATACCAATTTCAACTTTAGATTATATATAAATACTACCGTAGTAAGAGATATATACCTCGGACATATAAGTGATTGGATGTTCATTATTTGTAAAACCATGGTGTGATTTCATTAATAGTATTATGACTGAGAAAAACAAAAAGTTTTAGAATTACGAAAACCAATATTCTATCAATATTATAAAAATATATATGACATATTATCCTTTACAGAACGCCTATAAAAATAACAATATCGATCCAATTTTTTTAGTAAATATTTTATAGAGAACATTATTTTTGATAAACGAAACTGATTCAAATAGAGCGATATTTTAAAATATTGTAACAAACACCGACTTACTTGTGCGCCTATTCTTTCAGTCAGCTAAAATTATTTGCTTTAAGAAAACCACAATGAGAATGGAATTGTGCCCCACTTATCCGTTCGTATACGCGAGAATAAATAATGGAGCTTCTCGTTTATTTTACACTCGAAAATTAACGAAACCAATCTAGGTGTTATAGAACATTTTAAATGCTATAATTTTTTCGCCATTCTCTTATTTCCAATGTAGTATTGACTGATACGATTATCATACATCACAGACACCTCAGTTGACAGGCCCAATTTTATATCACGTGACCTCAAACCTTAAGCTCCACCTCCACTAGCAGACGATACCTCTCTCGTGAACAGCGCGCGCCAAAACAGACGCGTTCTTGCATCGAAGATATCAAGTTGTAGAAACAATTTGTGTGAGACGGTTACAAGACTCTTCTAGTGGCAGTTTCAATCTTTTTCAGTGTCCGAAGAACGGCTAGTTATTATCGAACCATTGTGGATTGAATCGAAAGTTGAAACTTCGTCAACAAAGATTAGCCAATCATTGGCCATCTCATATGCACGGGTCGTTCGGCCGATTAAAGCCGGAGATTGCCGAGTGAGAGACGTAAGGGAAACAAAGCGTTTAAGCCAGGGGGTGTGGCCAGAGAAACAGATAGGCAACCGATCCGTTTGAAATCATTACTCAGTTACATTTGCGTCCGTATTTCATGTAGCAGACAGTGAAATCTCCATACAGCAGACAGTATATAATTCATCGTGGAGCACTATCATATTCCAAAGTGGGACCAGCCCGCTAATTTAGCAGGCATGATGGACCCATACACTTACTCGGGTAAGTTTAATGTACTTAACTCTTTTATTGTTCTTTTTGCTAGAGATATATAACCTTGTTTGCAACTTAAAATTCGTGCATACTCCAAATATAAATGGCAACACGTTAATACGTAACATTGTTGGTGATTGGTTTCTAGAAGATTTTTATTTTCTAAGCAAGTCATATATTATAAACCACCCAACTAGATAATTTTACCGCCTGCGGTTTATTTTTGTAAGACAATTTCCCATAGAACTTTTATCATGGCGGGACTATATGATAGAAGATAATAAGGACATTATCATCTTTGCCCGTTTATCAACCAAACTCATTTCATGTTAATTATAGTGGAAAACTAAATTAAACCTATACACTCGTCATCAAAAGCCTAATTGACTGTATCAGAATCATCTCATTATTTCTAGCCCCTCCAGTTACGTAATCCGATCGCATCTCTTTCGTATGACAAGAAATGAAAATTAGACTTGCAGGCGTTTGCATGCAGCCATATCTGGCATCGTATAGCCAAAGTGTACCATGACAAAGTTAGATCGGTCGAACGTTGATCTCTAACCAGCTATATGAAGCGATATAATAATGGGGTATGAAGACACAAGATTGACAAGAGATTCTTTGATAAGTGATCGTTTGTCACTGGCATATGACGGCTATACAAGACAATTGGGCGAGAGGCGAAATTTTTCTCTCCTTGAAAAGAGAACTGTCACTCCTTTTTTACAAGGCTTGTCAAACCAGGGCAATTTTTCAATGTGCTGAAAAAATCCCTGTTATTTAGTTGTGGAACGATAAACATTGAAACTGTGTCTGCTATGGTGATTTATGGCCGTCTTGTTAAGCTAAAATGATAAAGTACTCCATTATTGGTTCAAATCTTATGTCGTCTTTAATTATATCTTTAGATTATTGCTCAAACCCTCACGTTAAGAATTTAAAACCATGCAAGATGTTTCGTGACTTTTTTGTGCTTTAATGTTTATCTTTTTTCTTCAGTCCCAGACCATTCAATCCATAAGCTTTTAAAAAATGAAAAAAATCCCAACAAAATCTGAAGTTCTTCTCTCTGAATATATATAGATAACAAAATAAGGTTCTGATTTCATTTTTATCCCTTTTCACAATATAAAACTTTCCTCGTGTTAAGATAGAAAAAAAATCCAGATTACAGGAAAATAACGTCATATAACTTTACACATATAATAGACACAGTAATGAAGTCTATAATGTAAATAGTATAATCTAAATTAATTTGCTTATCTCTTTTTATACGCATTTAGATAAACACTTGAAGTCTAGAGTTTCTATTTCTAAATATGTAAGGAAAATCAAACATTACATTTATAGCTACAACCTGGAAAGCTTTCACTTTACTTGCGGAAAGAGGATTTTTGATAGGCGATCTAATATTTCCCTTAAAAACACATACATAATATTTTATAAATTTTCTGCACAGATTTTTGTAATAATTCTATTGCTGCTTTTATAATTAAAAACATTCTTTTCCTTATTTTACATATAAAAATGAAATTCTGAAATCAAATATAAATTATTCATAATAACACAACTTTATGGACTTACTACTTCTTAGTTTATTACATGCAACGTTGATAAAGATACCTGTAAGATCATTGAAACGTTGCATGTAATAAACTAAGAAGTAGTAAATCCATGAAGTAGTTTTATTATGAATATTATACCTTTACTTCTAAAAGACATTTAAGTATATTAACTATAAATTAATCAATTTATTTATTTAAACGAATAAAAAGTGGTCACACGCGCGATTCAAAAGGAGGTTTAATCATACAGTGATTCCTTCATGTTCATTCGCATTATATATCTATATTTTGATTTGAGTTAATCTACCCAATTCTTTTAATTTTTTGATTAGGGTTTTCTTTAAAACTGGAATAAAATGATTAAAACATTTGAACATGGTTAAAATCTGTTTATCTCTAGTGTTGTTTCACTTTATGTATTTCCCTATTGCAAATTCATTTCATGAAGAACCCGCTACTTTAAGCTGCTGTGTCCATACCATTTGTCATTTGGGGAGTACACATAGCCAGATGTCTTCTTTTTTGTATTAAATCATGGAACAAGCTCGAATTAAATTTATTAATTTAAAACTCAAGAATTATATTGTTCGATTAATCTGCATAATTATATCATTGAACAAACAGTTAACATTGTTTTTAAATATGAGAATGGTTTCAGACTGTAAGCCCGGTTTAATATTTCAGGTGACTAAATGCCTGATTAGGAATAATGAAAAATAGATAGGACAATTTTGAGAGTCAATTTATCGATGACAAGTCATTAATTGTGAATGGAATTAATACTTTTGTCTGTAATGCAATGCTTTATAAGTGATTTTTCTTCTCTCCTAATGATATTTTAGGAGAACAGTTTGTACAAGAATTAAGACAAATTCCATATCATGTTCTTTATTTTCTGATGATATCTATTCATATGGTCGTAAAATGTAGCGCATAATTTTAGACGACATTGTTATTTATTAAAATATGAAATTTATTTATTTATAATTCAGCGATTATTGATTGAGAAAATAAAACAGTTAGACCCATGGAGAAAATTTTAACTATTGACTATTGTTTTTCAACATTTTTGTTGTGTTTGCTTAACTATTGTCAAGACCAAAATAAACGTTTTGGGTTTAAAGGCAATAAACAAAAATTCAATTAGTGAGATAGTTTATTCATTCAGAATATTGTGTTTTTCTTCTGTAAAAGTCATTATTTGAAACTGAATATAAATTTACAGCTAATTAAATAGAAATTTATACACTTGCTTTGAAACCGTATCGGTAGTAACAACAACTCATGAAGCAATCAATCATATTTTGAAATATTTGTCCCGATTGACATTCGATGGATGTTGGCATTAGGGCGTCTTAAAACGTCAATTTGGCTTGTTCGTGTCAGTTCAGTGTATTCGATCTAAAGAAGCAAAAAGTTGAACTATCGTTAGAATTATTGAGTGTGCTTTATACAGTAGGACTTCCATTCTTATAAAGCTTCTGTTATCATTGAACTAAATCTTTTATTCCAGTCGCTTTGTAAATACAGAAATCTATAGAGAAGTCGATAATATGTAAAACGATATAGTTTCTTGGTAAGAAAGAAATCGCTTTAAAAGTATTGCTTTGAAATTCTAGACATATTTGTAAGGATTGATTATTTTTGTGTACAGTTTTAATGAGACATTATGCCTAAAATATATTTCAAGATTACCGTTATTAGTAAGAAGAGAACTGATAACGCATGGGTCTCAAAATTTTCCAGAACTACGAACGCTCCACACTAGATTCAAAATAATTAAATGTTTTTGTAAGCTTTAAATTGTGAAGAAAAAGAAAATCGTTCTTTTGAACATATTGAAACTATACGGAAAAGTGTCTCTCAACGAATAGTTTAGTTGATTCTTTTGTCTAAAGTTTCCCAGTTAAATGATCTGGTATTTTGTTGCCAAACTATTTTTTGCCGTATGGTAAATCCCCTTAACACCCTAGCTAAGCTTCGGGTGGTTTTCTAACCAAGGTATATTTGATCCACCAAGTCGCACATACAATAAACAATATAGAAACAGAAAACGCTGCTAAACGACCATCATGGCTTCACAGCTGCCTGCAACAAGTTTACAATTACAACAAATGTTTGCTGTTTTACTTTCCATTAAACAAAGGATGAGATGAAAAGCGAGCATTTTAATCCTCTTAAAAAATCACCACCAATCATTACAAACCAAATGATACCCTTCAAGGTTCAATGTTTTATTCAATTAAAATAAACCATATTAATTACGAGAGTTGTCGACTCTTTCTTCCTTCTACATAAAACATTTAGTTTTCATATAAAAATCACAGAAAACCAATCGTATCGTGAGTAGCTTTGCTTAATTAAAATACGAAACTAAATTTTAAAACCAAAGATATATTCCATAAATGAAAGAAAGTAATATTACAAACACCCACGGCTGCAGATTTTGTTTTAGTGGCCACGAATTTACGGAAAGTGGATTTAAAAGCTGCAGAATGGATGTAAATGGATTAATAAAGTTTGTGGCAGTAAAACTTTCTATATTGGACAGAGTGTCGAGGGTATAATAACATTTTTTGTTTGCGGTCGATCGGATTTTTTCCGTATATGAATCAAATGTATTTACAGGAAATCGAGTTATTGTTTTTATCAAATGAAACATTTCCATTTAAACCAATATGTGTCCGGACACGAATATACCACATTTATTTTCAATGAATATCAGATTAAAAGTACGTTGGGAGATATTGGATTTTATATCAATATATGATTCTAGGTCTCCGATTTCCAAAATGGCAAGAAATTTCAAAGAAATATATTGTACATGTCATCTGTTGTTGAACAAACATACGATATATTGAAGCTCCATTTCAAAAACAAGATCTAGACACTATTACTCTTGTGCTACATAAAAATAGACATGCTTGTTATTTATTCTTAGATTCCACTTTATATCCCCCAAATCTCTCCCAATCTTAAAACAAATACCATCATCAAAGACCCTCAGAATATTATTTCACCAAATAACATACTAAATTACATCACCCATCTATGTTTAAAGCTGCGCAAAGGCTGGTAATACCGGAGGAAAAAAACCTGAAACGAAATAGCATGTGAACATACCATAATTATCTTGATAGAAGGCTAGAAACCCAAGAGGGTCATAAACATCTGATAGGAAAGACTCCATCGTCTTCAAATCACACCAGCTCAATATTTCGTTTCATTTCCCAGGTGTGATTAAAAATCCGGAATATCGAAGAAACCATGTTTTTCCCAGTCATATAGCTGTAAACACACATATGAGGTTCGGTTCCGTTTATGAATTCGATACAGATACAAGGCCTTTGAGAATTCAGGAAATCACAGAGCGCCATGTGCAACCATCTTGAAATTGTTACAATATTGCTGGCATCATGGTCCAAAATCTGTAAGACTTCC